AACATGAAGACTGCATTTCTTAAAAAAACTATCAATTAAATATGGACTTCCTCTGGTATGTAAGTATAATAAGCTAAAATTCTACTTCATGAGCAAACAAAATAAAGAACTAAAATCTGAAGGAACTCAAATATGACACATCAATGTTCTTTTGTTGCTATGGATACTCATCTGTGAATGAAGCTACATTTTTTATATGCGCTATATTATTATGTATATTATTATATGTATATTATAATATTATGTATATTATTATACATAATATTATGTATATTATTATACATAATATTATGTATATTATTATACATAATATTATGTATATTATTATGTATATTATTGTAATTTAATAAACTAATTGGATCCAAACTAATTTAATTGGAATGTAATAAATTAATCAGAGTCTTTCCTAAAATATGAAAAGAAAGTTAATTTTCCAAGAGTTTTCCAAAATGCATATGTTAAATTTATATAACAAAAATAATTTTGCATCAATAATTCTATATGCTTATATGCATATACAAATTGAGTTTTGTTGGATGTAAGAGGTCCTTAATTAATTTTTACGAAAGCTAAATGCTGAAAGATGCAACAAAAACATCTTCTACTCACTAAACTTGGAAGGGATTTCTGGAGATCATCAGTAGCTTACAAAGAAAAGCATTCAGGTATGTTTTAAATATCTCATAGAAGGAGATTCCACAAGTTCTCTGGGCAGCCAATTCCAGCGCTTTGTGACCCTCGCAATGAAGTTTTTTCTCATGTTCAGATGGAAACGTTCCATGATTTCAAGGAACACCTCCAAGAAGGTCCAATGAATGTTTCTATATTTCTCAGTTGCAGTCTGATCTCCTATATAAAGGTAAAGTTTTCTAGCATCAAAATCACACTTTGAATTCTCTGTTATGCTGATCTACCAGTATATTACTACAAATTACTTTTGCACTTTGAAGACGCTGTCCTTTGAGACCTGCCAGCTTTGATAAATTCCTTCACTAATCAGAACTCCCTCCGGTGGGATTCCATGCACCAGCTCCCTGATTAAGCAAACTTTCTGTTTACCTTAAGTTCAGGGTATTTTCTTACTACTTGCCTTTCTCACTTCCTTCAAAAACCTCAAACTCTTAAATTTCAGTCAATATAGACAATGATACTATTCACAAGCAAATCTTCAGATAGTTTTTCCTTTCATAACACTTAATAGCAGACTTGCATCGCCTCTTGTTGGTCCATTTAATGCCTACACAGAGCAATAATTCCTGAAATCTTCCAGAATTAGATTGCTTTGCATCCAACCATGATATCCTTTCAGCAGCTATACAGTCAGACCCCAGCAAGAACCAGATTCTGAAATTCAGAGACATGAGTTCTTTAAAGACTATAATCTATCTCATCAGGTGATCTCCCATCAAAATCTCGTCCTTACTGATCTCTCCTCTGATACTCTTCACAAGCTATTAGTCCAGCTATCACCTATTATATAGAAGAGCTCAAAAGATTTGGGTTGATTTAGATCTGTGGGCAACTTCCATCCCCTCAGACCTCTTCTTCCCTTTTTCCTGAAGAGCCGTCTGTCCTTCATAGTACTTCAGTTCTACAAACTTGGCACAGTATTTTAATTTCTCTAAAAATATTTGACTCCTGTAACTAAATACAGCTCTTTCTCATTGATTCCCAGGGTGCATGCACTTCTGTACAAATTCTACCCATGCAGATGAGCAGCTGGGAACACTGGTCTAAGGTCTGGACAGGCTTTGGTAGACTCTCCATGATATTCTAACTCAATGTCCACAGCAAACAACATATCCCTCAAAAAGAAAATTGAGATACATAGGGACTTCTGTCCCTACAGAATAGATTGTCCCCCTTGCTGCTTCCGTCTCTTGCTGTTTTCTCCTGATGTTAATGCATTGTTCAGGATAAAGCTGGCTCTGATTTCTGCTCAGTTATGGCTTTCTTCCCCTTTTTTGCTATGTGACGTTTGAACCAATTCTACAATAGCAGGTGTGGAGGTGGAAAAAGAGCCATCCTCCACTTTCAGGAGGTGACAGTTTCCTACCTTCATCAGCATGGATCTCTCCACTTACCCTACAAACAATTGCAGCCTCTGGCTGCTCCTCCTCTATGTTTTTGAGACTTTTTTGTCCCTAAGGATGTTCCTGCAACATGTTCCCAGCACCTTCATGCACTCCTGTGCAAACTGCTCAATGAAACGCTGCTGATGGTCATTACCCTCTACATTCTGGACCTGGCCTGCATTACTGGAGCAGACATCTGATTCTCCACCACTGAAGCCACCCATCCCAGCAGCAGCCCTGATCCTGGAGTAACACAAAGTGCTTGATGTTAAGTGCTTGATGTTAAACCAGAAGCGGTGCTCAAATAGTGCTGCATAAAATGTCAGCACTGCTTTACTAACACGTAGACTACTACATCTTGGAAAGCCAAGGCCTAGATTGAATTGTATTTGAGTATGGATTCCAAAAAGTACAAGAAAGGATTCTACAGGTACCTCAATCAGAAAAGGAAAGTCCAGAAGAAGGGTGAGGTACTTAAATTTTTTGTCTCTGTTTCTCCTGATAACCACATACCACACAGCCCTCAAATGTTTGGTCTGCTAAGAGGAGACTGTAGTAGCACTGCCCCTCCCACTGTAAGTGAAGATCAGATTCATGACTATCTGAAGAACCTGTACATTTACAAGTCATGGGTCCTGCTGAGATGCATCTCAGACTCCTAAGGGAATTGGCTTATATGGCTGCTAAGCCATTCCCCATAATATTTGAAAAGTCATGGCAATCGGGTGAAACCCCTGGTGACTGGGAAAAAAGGAAACATCATACCCATTTTTAAAAAGGGTAAAAAAGATGATTCAAAAGATTATTGTTCAACAAACAAAGAACAGGCTGCAGGATCGAGTCCGGAGAGTGGTGATCACTGGCTCCATGTCTGGACGTAGACTGTTGAGAAGTGGTGTCCCCCAGGGGTTGGTGCTGAAGATATCTTTAATATCTTCATCAATGACATCAACAGTGGGGTTGAATACACCCTCAGTAAGTTTTTTGTTGACACCAAGCTGTGGGGTGCAGTTGAAACACCAGAGGGACAGGATGCTATTCAGAGGGACCTAGACAGATTTGAGCAGTGGGACCAGGTGTATTGCATGAGGTTCAACAAATACAAGTGCAAGGTCTTGCACTTGGGTTGAGGCTATTGCCCCTTGCCAATATAAACTGGGGGATAAAGGGATTGAGATCAGCTCTACCAAAAAGGACCTGCAGGTAATGATGGATGCTGAACTAGATGCAAACCAGCAGTGTGCCCTTGCAGCACAGAAAGCCAAGTATATTCCAGGCTGCATCAAAAGAAGCAGAGCCAGTAGTTCGAGGGAGGTTGTCATACCCGTCTGCTATGCACCAATGAGGTCTCATCTGTGTCCTGATGAGAAGTCCTCAGTACAGGAGAGACATAGATCTGTTGGAGCACATCCAGAGAAGGGCCACAAACCACAGAATTGAATACCTCTCCTAGGAGGATAGGCTGAGAGAGCTGGGGCTGTTCAACACAGAGAAGGCAGCGAGATGACCTGATAGCAGGCTTTCAGTATCTAAAGGGGACCTACAGGAAAGAAAGGGACAGACTATTTAGAAGGGTTTTTTGGTGGTAGAACAAGGGGAAATGGCTTCAAGCTCAGGGAGACTAGATTTAGGTTAGATATAAGGAAAAAAATCTTTTACTGTGAAGGTGGTGAGGCACTGGAACAGGTTACCTAGTGTTGTGGTTGATGTCCCAGCCCTGGAGACTTTCAAGGCGAGGCTGGATCAGACCCTGGGCAACCTGATCTAGCTGTGGTGACCCTGTCTGTCGCAGGGGAGTTGAACTAGATATCTGTATAGTCAATGAATGTACAGATGTTATAGTTATGAAGTATACCAGAGAGCTTGGCTATGTAGTTACTACACAACAGCAGAAAGGATAGGATGCTTATTCTTATCCTGGGCTCACTTATGAAACTCCAGCAGAGTGGATCTCCACTCCCCATTGGTAGTCATCTCTTAAATGGGTCTAGGAGAGGTAGAGGCAGGCTCCACTCCTTCTGGCAGCACAGATGAATTGCCTTCACCTGTGCTCCTGTGGCTGACTCATTGCTTGCCTCAGGTGATCAATTAGAGGTTTAGGCCATGATTCAGCACTTCCCATACAATAGCCCTCAGAGGTTCCTTCCAACTTTAAGGACTCTATGATCTCACAAGCTCCCCTCTGCCCTCAGGCCTGCTTCCCCAGACTGTCTCTGTTGGACTGGTGTGCTAGAGCTATTGAAAGGTTATCTGGTGGAAGAATGAACAACAGTGGATGAGGATATGTCAGGGATTACTGGAGAGTGAGACAAGATGGGTTCACCAAAATATACTGAGAGAGCTGGGTGGTGTCCTCCAAAGCCACACTCTGTCAACTTTGAAAGATGATGGAGAACAGAGAGGTCCTTGACAGTTGCATAAAAGCAACTGTGATAAATAGCTGCAAATAAAGTCAAAAATGAGCACTCGATCTGTGAAGAGAGGCTGAAGGAACAGCATTTGATCATTCTAGTGAAGAGATGGCTTCAGTGGGATTTAATAGCAGTGCCCCAGTACTTATGAGGGGATTATCAAAAAGACAAAGCCAGAGTCTTCATAGTGGTGCAAACTGGGAGAACAACAGAAAGTAATCATATACTGGAGCAACAAATGTTCTGTCTGGGCACTGTCAGAACCCAGAACATTTTTAACCATGAGTAGAATCTACTAGTGGGTCAGACTGCCCATTTGAGCAGCAATTGGACCTGAGGTATCTTCCAACTTGAATTATCCTTCAGTTCTGTTGTGAAAGCAATTTCAAACAAACATGGATATTTGCTTCTTATTTTTGTAAAGCCTAAGTATAATTTTATTCTTAGTTAAAAGGAAGCAGAAGCCTGAGCTTTGTTTCTTATTCCACATGATAAATATATATTGCTAACATACCTGGTTCAGACTTTCCAGTTTAGACTGTTTTAGTTCTTCATATTTCAACTTCCAAAGAGCTAATTCATTTTCTGTCTTTTCCACTTCTTTTTCCAGAAATACATTCATTCTGAAAGGGTTTTAAAAATCAGCATTACTTTTTGTTTTGAGGATGAAAAAACATAAATGACATTTAACTTCTGTTCAAAGCTTCAGTTATATTTTACAGCCTTTTTCAACTGCATATTTTTAAATTATTTTAAACATATACTATGACCACATAATTATTTTAAGAGATTTGTAAAAAAATAATGGCTGAAGAGAACAGACAATTCCAGTATGGAATTCGAATTCTTGTCCTAAACTTAATAAAATTTGGAAATGAACGTCAGTTAGTGATTTTGGTCACGCAGTATATGGTAAGATAGCAAAGATCCTCAGAGGATTGAGATTGGTTCACTTCATTTGAGTACAAGGAAAAGATTAAGAACATGTATATGGGAATATATACATACAGTATGTGCAGAGCACTGAAAAAAAGAGGATTCTTGAAAGAACGAGAAAAACATTTTGGAAATGTGGATTATTTATCTCAGAGATACTACATCCTCACTAAAATGACAACTCTAAGGATTCTGCTCTGGAATGTTATTTGAGTAAAATGTTCATTACTATATTCTGGAAAAAGGTCAGAAAAAATAGTTCACAAAGAAGGAATGATGGTTCCTACTGAAATACTGAAGTTTGGTTTTAGCTTTTACCTCTTTTCAAAACACAGTATTATCAGCAAATAAGGATATAATGAAAGAAATATGAAGCTCTACAGATGTTCCTGTCTTTGAGACCCATTAAAAGTTTCATTTTTGTGTCCACAGCAAAGACTGCAGCCAAAGTCCAAAGATAACAATGAATTTTTCATAAATTATATCCTTGACTTCATAATTTCATTTCGTATTTGTGAAATATGTGTATATGATTTTGCAATAGTCTAACAAAACAGAATTTGGCTCACAAGAAAAAATGAAAGAAAATTAAAAAAAACTAAATTACAAGTAAAAACTTTCAGTTTATATTGGTACAATTTTTTAATAAAAACAGGTTATTGTTTATAATCTATGATTATTCAACTGGCTATAAACATCAGTATAGGAATAAAGCATGTAAAGTCAGGAACCTGAATAAATCTGAAGTCTGAAAAGCAGTAAATCTGCAGATGGATCATTATGTTGGGAGATGACAATTTTTTTTTTTTTATAAGTTTTATGATACTGCAGGGATGAAACATGAATATATCAGAAAAGATAAAAATATTGAAAATATACACTTGAAAATTCAACTAGCAACATAAGATACTGTTGTATGTCATAGTAGTTATTTTCTCTTCTGGGACAAAAATAATGTGTTAACCTTTTGACAAAAAAGTATTATTTCTGCATTAACTTTAGCTACATTCTGAGAATATTTGATATAAAATCTTTCTTCCACAGCATAAGGAAATCAGCAAACGGATATGTGACAAGGCTTGCCTCTGGGTCATATTCACATAGTACTTGGTGGGCTTGTGCAGAGACACCAGAGTTATCACTGAGTGGTCTGGCTCAAGGCCTGGAAGCAATGTTAGCTAGATCGTTGAAGCAATGTACTTGTGTGAAAAGTGTCTTCCTGTTGCTTCTTTGTTTACAACTAAACTGAATACTCTTGATCCAAAAAAACTTAAATCACTTATGAAGAGGTTAGCCGTTTAAGTAGGGACACGTCCAAACACTATCTCTACATGTGCTGGTTTCAGTTTGGAAAAAATCTAGCCACAGCTCTTGAGTAATGAGAGTAAGCCAGAAAGATCTACAGAGAGGTCCTGCACAGAATGAGCAAGATCATACTGGCTGCCAAAGTAACCTTTGGCCTAGGGGTTCAAGTTGTCTGTAACCCAAGTTTACTTTTGATGTAGCACAGCTGTGTCCTTGGCTGAAGTTTACTGAGAAAATTTCTAAATTGTCAGGAAGAAGCTGTGAGAAAGTACTTAAGCTAGAGCTATGCAAACAGATGAGATTGTTGAGATAGTGATTATTAGCAGATCCAGAATCCAGGAGCAAAAATACTGATGTGAACAAATATAAAACTCAAAGAGAAAAAATGGGAATCTGAAGATGTCAAGTCATCTAAATAAGCCTATTCCTGTGAGAAGCAGACACTAAGCCTGCCTGAACTGGTGGATGATAGTCTGCCCAACAAAGACTCACAGGGTGACTCAAGAGACCAGTGATTACGTTAGTTTTTGTCTGGTAATACTGTTCAAAGGTATCTATTTTGTGCATAGCCAAACATAATTGCTTTGTATGTCTCAGCTGAACATATTTTGCTTACAGAAGCTCTTTTATAGAGGAAATGTTGAACAAAGAGCTAAAGAAGTTGTACACAAATGCTTAACATTATGTGAAAATTGCTGCTCCATGAGCAGTTACTGCCTGAGGTTGGAACTGCTGTAGGTTGCATGATACAAACATACACCAGTTTTTATCATGCCCCAGTAAATTTATTAATATACACCATAATGAAGAACAGTCGGTATATACCTAGGGATAAGTATCAAAATCTGGCATCCTGAAACACAGTTACTAACTGGCTTGAAAGGCACATGAACAAACACAGAGCAGAAAGTAATACAGGGATTTATTAAATTTTCATCAAATAAGAGATTTGCTTTAAAAATGTTGAATGATTATCTCCTTTTTAAAAGGAAATTTCTGCATACTATGATCTCTGTTGAACAAGTAAAATACATAGAACCCTAAGGATTTCAACCAGAGAAGAGTAGATATGAGTTATCAGCCTCTTAAATCTCATGAAATATCAAAAATTTAAAAATTTTTGGATTTTGGCTTCAACAAAAAATAGAATCTTTTTAAGTAAGATAGAATGCAGTTTCAGTAATCTGCTGCAATATGATTCAAAAAAAGAATGGATGTTTTCCACAGCTTCCTGTTTCAGGTAACAACATAGTAAATGTGTTCTAAGAATTTAAAATAAATTTTTTTAAAAAAATTTTAATATACTTCAGACTTGAATTATCTACAGGAAAATAGTAAAAAGAAAGTGACAGGAAAGATTTGTCACAGTCTATTACATGCTCTTTGAACTGAAACTTGACAGTATTTGCAAAAGAAGAGGCATTCTTTATTCCTTCTGAGTAGCTTTAACCAGTTTTGAAGCTACAGTCGCATTAACCTGAAGTCTACTGCCTCACACATTGCACATATAGCGTATACCACGTGTTTCCTTGAAAAGCAATTTTGTTGTAATTCAAAAATGGCCTTCATTATTCTGCAGTCACCATTTACTAACAAAAATTTGAAAGAGCCTATGAAAATTTCTTATAATACTACGGTGCTCCAATAATTGAATATAACATAGCTTAGATGTCACTTAATTTGTATCAAATCGCTGGTAAGTACAAATTTTTTAGTTAACTGTATATTCTTAACAGTTTTATTACAGAGTACTTTTTCATGCTAATGATAAGCAAGCCAAAGGAAACGAGACGTACACACTACTGTGAAACCCTTACAATATATGTAATTACCTATTTCCAAAACCATTAAAAAATAATACATATTTTCTGACTTAGAGCTTAGAAATACCTAGGAGAACATATGAGCTATAAATGCAAAACTTCACTATATTTACATTAGAAAGTTTCTTTAAAAAACTTATTTCTAATGAAGATTTCTCCAAGGAGGATATATTTTGTACTTACTCTCTTTCTTTAGTTAAGATTTTCTGTAACTCAGCCAAATGCAAATGCAGAACAGAAGCACGCATTAAATCATTCTCTGGTGTCTGAGCTGCGTTGTGCAGACCTTTTTTAGGTTCCTCAAAATAAATACTGGTAAATCCACTGGGAAAGGAATCAAGATGCTTTGGAGCCATTTTTTTATTCTGACTGCTTCTTAGGGGCTGTTTGATTAACTCCACATCCTGAGAAAAGAGATAAACATGGTATTTCAGAAAAACATAAATAAAGCAAAAGTCTAAATATGACTTCTGCCTGCTACCAAGGCTCTTGTAAACATTTAAACCATGTAGGGGGAAAAAAAGGAATAAATAATATCTTGTATAACTGCAATGAGTTACAGTTAGAATGTTCTCTAATGCAAAAATGTCATTCTGATGGAGTGATCGCTGCTTTGTGGTTTCTCACACTGTGAACATGTGAGAGTTCTCATAACCAAAATATTTCTAAGGTTTCTCTACTGAACAAATAGGTTCCAGTTGTCACTAGTTGGCTATAACTATGGTCAAGACAGAATCTTGGAATTATTAAAACCAGGAAAGCAACTTGTATGTACAGATACAACATTGAGAAATTCCACGTAAGAAGTCTTAGAGTTCTAATGTTAGTCATGTTGAAACAAATGATGGACTTTTAACAAGTTTTGTGCAAGGACCAGTTATGTGCATAACATACCAGTTGGGTCCCAACCAGAAACAAAATGTGCTATATTGTCTATTTTGAGGAGACAGAGTTTGCATGCAAAACGTAAGCAAAATTAAAAATATTTAGAAAAAAAATTATTCAAAAATACATCTGTATTAGGAATTCTTTTGAGATTTTAATTGCTGTGTTTGCCAAATGAAAAACTTGCCACATTGCAGAATTCACCTCACCTCTTTCCTCATTTCAGAAACTGCAAGTAGGGAGAACTAAATTGTATTTTAGATATCAGGAACCTACACTACTTTTTGAGATAGTAGTATGCAAAACATGGAGATTTCAGATATAACCTTATAACTTCTAACGTGAAAGATAGTCAGAGCATTACATTATTGGAGACAACAGCCTTTTACTTATAGGTTTAGCCATAGCTAAGGGATCTGAATTGTTTTCTGTATTTCTCTGTATTAGGATTGTAATGTGGGTGAAAATCAAAATAATTGCTTTTATAATATATCAGATCACATTATATTTTAGAAAAAAATCCTTGAAAAATCTCATTTCTAAATACATAACTCCTTCTTTTTCATGAACTTAAAAGAAATCCCCATTCTTTACCTTGTTTGAGTCTTCTGCCCAAGGAATTCTGTTGGTTTTGTTTAGTTCTTCCACATGTTCTTGTTCCAAAAATGTTAATTGGTTTAGGTCTTTTTTTATATGTGATATTTCTGAGGAACTGAAATATTCTGTTTTCCAAGTAGTTACATTTTCTAAACTTTCTTTCTCAGTTACTAAATCCTGGTTTATCTTTTTAAGCATACTCAGTTCTTTTACAACACTGTCCAATTTTATTCTCAATTGTCTGGCTTCTTCTCGGGCTTTATTTCTTTCTGCTCTAACTTTGCTCCATTTCTCCCTCCAATTAGCAGTACAGTCTGACCACCAGCGCATAGTTTTCTCCATTTGGGCAGCTCTGGCTTTGACTTCTTCTAGTTCTCGAATTCTTACTGCTTCAAAAATTTCCAAGTCACTGCTGGAATTCATATGCATGTGTGTATAATGAGCTGAATATGGGTAGAAATTTTGAGATGGAAGATTTGAATTACATAGATTGCCATCTGTTTGGCAAATTCCATCTAACTTATTAGGCTGTCTTGGTTGGGTCCTAAAAATCTGTATATCTTCCATTGAATGCTGAACATATCCTACGTCCATGTTTTGATTCATAATCTGCTATCACCCCTAAAAAAGACAAAGCATAATTTAGCTTCCTTCAATAAAATTATGAATAAATTTATATTCAATTAAATAATCTCAAGCAACAGTTTATATTACTCTTAAAATAATGATATATCTATCTTATTAATAATAGTGTTTGACATTTTAAAAGTGAGTACAGCACAGACAGGTATATTTGTTACTTGACTAGGTATTGATAACAAAGGAAATATCATTCATTTGCCTTCTTTCTCAAACGGTGGAACCTCATGTTAGGCAAAATGGTAAGTTAAATTTACCTATATAAATGAACAAAATGCAAATTCACATTTGATTTTTCTTTTCACAAGAGAAGAAATTCAAGCATTTTCACAGTGGGTGTTATCATCTACATTCCACAAAACACCCAGAAAATATATATATTCATGTTATTCTTGAAAAGATAACGCTATCCTACTATATAGCATATTACCTACATAGCAATGATACGACTGCTACCAAACGCTGCTGCACCCTTTTTCATTATTTATCCATTATTATTCACTCACTTAGATAAAAATCAGCACCTCAAAAATTGCATTCTCACTCCAATATTTAGAAAATTGTGATACGGAGAATCTGTCATCACTTGTATTTGCTTTTCATTCTTCCCTTGGCTATCAAAACATAACCTAACAAAACAAAACCTTGCTATTCCAACAGAAGACTAAGTTGATAAAATTACTTTTTTTTCTGAATGTTCCAACATCTCTCTTTAAAAAACCATGTTTATATATCATAATGATTAGGGTTACCGCCTGTATTTGAAATGTAGAAAGCCAATATAGTAAACAAAACACTGAAGAGTAGATAGTTATGGCATTATTTATGCTTCATTTCAACTGAATAAAAGTTTTCACACTTTCTGCTTCCAGTTTCTCAATTTTTAACTGCTGCCTTTCAGCCGTTTTTCCATCCTGGATTGCTGATTCTGACTCTGCACCTAAGCTTCCAAAAAATTAAATGTAATTTAATTAATTAAAATTTAAAGTAATTATTCTCTTTCGAGAAAATATTAGTGCTGACTTAGAGTTGGTAAGGAATAGAAGATGTTCACATGTCTTAACTTCCCTATGTGCTTTTCAGTTAACATAATCAAGTTACATGGAACTTTAACACTGTAGGACGTAGGACAGTGTTTTAGCTATATAAAGATGAGGAATACATAAAACACTTCCCCAAATAAAAGATTCTTAGCATATAGCTAAGACCAATTTGTGAATTTGTTTATGAAGCCAAAAAAGATTAACCTAAATAAATAAAACAGTGAGAAACCTAGAAAATCTGACAGCATTTATTAACTCTTTATTAGTTGATATCTAAACTTTTAGAATGCAGCTTAGGCACAGAAAACTTCTTTGTTCATCATTTCTTAGAGATAGTAGGGTTGATGTTGCAGATAGACACTTGCTTCATCAAACTACTACTGATGTCACTTAACACACATTATACTTCCCCAGGGTTCTGCCTGCTCCAAAAACTTTTAACTTATCTTGGGTGAAAAGAGAATATTGCTTATGTAGAACATAGACAAAGAAGATTCATATTATTATTGTTACAGAGACCTCTAAACATAAGAAATAAGTCAACACTGAAAACTGAGAGGGAAAAAAAGCAGCTATCCAGAGCAAGTTTGAAAGTTACCAGTTTGAGTTTGTAGCAGCAGACTAGCTAGCTCAGCATGTGGAACTCAATGAGCATAATTTACTTAACAGAAGTAGATGTAAAGATAAAAGAAAGTTAGAAAAGTAAAAGAAAGTGGGGATTTTCTTTCCAGTGAAACCTTCTGGTAGTTCCACCTGCTTAATAATTCAGGGACAAGAAGTAACACAGAATACCTCTTAAAGTAATCTTCCTTAATTGAATAATCTAAAGTACGCCCAAAGAAAAGGAAGCAACATTCATAGCATTGTTTGAGAGGGGTGAAGGTATCATAAAAGAGATCTGATTGACATAAGAAAGAAAAAGTTACAGACGTTTGGCAAACAAAACAAGGAATACGCTCTAAACCATATTTCATTGTATTGCAACTTTGCTTATTTACTTAATGTTCATAAACAATGGCAGTTAAGAAGAATAGCTCTTGGTTTATTGTTCCAAGATATTATTATGGGCAAAGGGAAATGTTTTAACTCCTCATGACACACAAGAAAAAAACCACTGGAACTCAAAACAGTTATTACACTTCACTTGTGTTAATACCTGCTCACTGAACTGAAGTTTTCCATGAGTTCAGCTGCTAGACCATCAACTTGATACTGTATTAGCACCCTTTTTCTAATTGCATGACTTAATCTTTAGTTACATCCCACTTAATTATGAAAACCTCAGCCAAACATTTCTTAAAAGGCATTCTCATCTTTACAGAAAATATCTGCTTCAGAAGAAACCAGTTAATTTTCTTTTGCATAAGCTGTAAACGCAATAGAAAAAAAGTCCAAATTGCTTATCTTCTTTGCTTACTCCAGGAGATGCAAAACTGTTTGGGCTTATATAAAATATATATATCAGTTCTATGGGGAAAGAAGAAAGTTTTGTAAAAAGTCTGTCATAGCTGGAAGTGCATTGCTGTTTGTTTCCCTTGACATCTGGGTGGTTTGAGTTAGCTTGTTTTAAAAATGATTCTAACTGGAAAACTGCTACCATAGGACAGAAAACCCTTGTGCAGCTGTGTGCTTTGTATGGACATCAACAGGTAACAAATAGTGGAGATAAATAATGAGAACATGGCATAGGTTAGAATATAAATTGAATCCTCTCATCTGCTCTTCTCTGCTGGCAGAAGTGTGGGTCGCAGATGGGAGTGCACAGTGAGTGGGAAATTAGTGAGAGGTAGAGCTGCAGCCATACTTGTACAGACCATAGAGAAGCCTACACAGCAGGAGCTGGTGGCTCAGCCCAGCTGGCAAAGCAGAGCTTAAAGGTATGGAAATGACTTTGAAGCACTGAGCTATAAATGCCTATGCAGACTTATACTCCGTGTGGGATTCTTTAATCCTGTGGCTGAGAATGGGGTGTAAAAAATTAACAAGTAAACAACAGAGATGTCTGGGTATGAATACACACCAAAAATTTATTGATGATATAATTTAATCTAAGAATGTGTACCTACTCACAAAAACACTACAAAACTTGAGGCAAAGGGAAGCAAGGCAGCTGGTCATTCTGCATAAAATCGTAAGACAGAACAGGGAATTTGTTACAGGAATGACTAGGGCACAGAGGGACAGATGATTTGTATCAACAGGATGCATAGAGATGTACAGTAGCATCCTCTGACAAAACAGATCCTATTCAAAACGGACTATTCTATTCACAACTTCCATATTGCCACACCTATCAAAGTTGACCACCGTTTCAAAATTGGCCTTAAATATTTGGATGTATGTAACTTCACACCTGAGATCCTGCTGAGCACACAGCTCATGCTAGCACCTGGGACCAGAGCCATCTGGGTAAGCATAACACATACAGATGGCACAGCACACAGGGAAGTAAGGGCCACTCTGCAGCTAACTTTTCCTGCAGCTATTCTCTTGTATCTTTGTAAAGACACTGCCCCAAACTTACTGATACAGTATAGTTTGAATTCCAACCTGAAAAGTACAAATAGATCAACATACTCAAAAAGCTTTGGAATCACAACAGTATTGCTGAGGATTTTGAGCTTCTTGCAACACCCAAACTGTAGCAGCAGCAGAAGAGTGAGCCCTGACAACATTGTATCAGAAAGTATTTTGCTTATAGGTGCACTCACTGGAAAATAGACAACTTTTTAGCTACAGAATTCATGAAGTAATGAATTTGTGTACTGATATGTTAGACTGTATAGTCTGTATGAAGAGGATTGAGTTTTTGTTTGATGCTTCTTTGGTTTTGGGTGGGTGTTTGTGTGTTGTTTTTTGTTTGTTTGTTTTTAATAGGTTATGAGCAAATAAATAAGTGCATTTTACAGGATATATTTGTCCTTTAAATATGAGAGATTTCAGTTGACAGTGACACCGTACATTTACATATTTCCACAATCTGGGTTTGATCATGGTCTCTCTGAGCAAGTTAAGAAAATTGTTATTTTAATACTGAAAATTAAAAAGTTGGTCATTTCAATACTTTTGAATGCATAGCCAAGGATTGTTGTATTTTTTTTTTCATAGCTATAAAATATACCATATAGTTTAAAATTATTATATTTTTAAGCAGTTGATGTTGTATCCAAACATTATATTCCTAACATGTGTCAAAGCTAAAAATCAGCCAAAAAATGTCCTGAAATAAAAGACACAAGCAATGCAAATTATTTCCTGTCATAAATTATCTGATTTTTTTTTTCCTGTTTACACTTATGTAGCCACATTTTAAATATAAAATATTTGATGCAACTCTCATTTGCTTAAAAATTCCCATAGCTACTACTCATTTTTGTTAACTAAAAACAATTAAGCTGCAAAAATCATATAAAGTTACGTTTCTAATTTCATGAAGAGAAATGTCTTAATGGTTTTGTTGCTTTTCATTTCTTTTTCCCTTTTATTTGATTATGAAGTCTGTGAGCCGTATGAAAGAAAAGGTTTTTCTCACTGCATCACTTCAGAAATTCAAATTTGTTAAGTATGTTTTCAGAATCAAATCAAAATCACAACCACAATTCATTCGTGTTCTGACACGCAAAACAAAGTCTATGCAATTTCACCTTTCTTCTACTACCAAGGATCAGTCTCAGCTTTTGAAGTGTAAAGACAATCTAAGATGAAAAAATTAACTGCAAGATTTCTAAAGTTGATAATTAAATCCCAGAGCTTTGTTTGATAAAAGATAAACACAAAATATTTGGCCTGTCTGCAAAGAAGGAATAAAGACAGAATTGCTGAGTGAAATCTTGCACACTTCCTAGGCCTGGCAAAACAAAAAGTTTTGGGAAAACTGAGTATCACTTTTGTGCTCATATTTCCTTACGGTATAAAAATCTTTGCCTCTGACATGAAAAA